AGTGTTCTTTACGTACTCAAATTAGAACTTATAGGAAGCCGACAAGTTCTTCGTGGGATCGACCCCGTACTTATATAATCTATACTTCGATAGATTCGTGCACTTGCGGGTATTTTTAATTGGTTGTTTGCACATTAATTTGTGTCCTTTTATGAATGCAACACATACTTCTTGTCGTCCAAGCTTTTTTTTTTCCCCCATTGTTTGATATCTTTGTTGAGGTGGTACCTGGTACTTGTTTGATATTGTCAAATTCGCATTTTTCATTTGACATATGGCAAGTTCCTTTCAAAATTTGCCTGACCCTCAATTAATTAATTAGCAGAGTATATTATATATAAGCCAACTGTAATTGACTTTAATTTTTCTTTTCAAAATGCTAAAGCAGCTTTGCTTACCACCGTAATCCGTGTCATCTCTTTAATTATGAAACCATTTTAATATCCACCGTTCATGTCTTGCGGTGCAAGGCATCGTGATCGGGAAACCCCCTGCTTATTTTCAAACACAGCTGCTTAAACCCACGTTGGTGTTTGTTTTTATATCGATTTGATTATAGTTTTCTGTGTCTACATTAACAAAACACAGCTACTTACAAAGACTTTGGTGTCTGTTTATGGGGAAGTAGGATGAATGAACAAGAAAATCCAGAACCCAAAGTCGTTCCTCCAGCACACAATCTGCAAAAAAAAAATGATAGTTCTCTCCACGACCATAACCAAGTTGCAGCACTGAAGTAGAAAACAAGTAAATGGTTAGGTGGCCGACTCTATTCTTAAGATTAATTTTTAATGAAATCGAGGTTAACAATCACCGTTTAGACCAAGTCTTACTGGGAAGTCAAAGGTGAAACAGAGGATTAGTACTAGAGTAGAATACAAATTCCATCTAATTAAACCCTTTTCAGAATTAGCCGACATAAGCAACTTGTGCTATTGGTTAATCCACCCCCTAATACCTAAGATGTTGATACTCAACTCAGAGTCAGCCAAAAGCCAACCTGAGTTTTCTGTTTTCTGATACAAGTTGCTGCGTTTTGCATTTGACATTTTCCTTCTTCATCTCTTCATGTGACCTCTTCAAAATACAATTGTCATTTGATCTAGTTAAATTTTGGAATGGCCATTACAATGTCAATTGTGACCCTTAAAAAAAGGGTAGATATATACTTGCCTCCCTCTCATTCATAAAGAAGGATGCTAGGAACAGTTCACCCGGCGCCTGCCTGAGTGACTACCAGTCGTTGATGCATTATAACGGCCGTGTTGGTGGCCTTTTCATAATTTCCCTACTAAATTGAGCTACTTTCAAGCAGATTTGCACATTGTGAAAAGTGAAATAACATATGGGACAAAAAGAACCAAGGTTTATTATTCTATAATTGAGATGCTTTACAAATTATTGAGAAGATAAGAAATTACATGGAAATTGATGAAGACAAACACCTTGCTGCTTGATCATGCTTGGTGAATGTTGTAAATAGCTGCAGTGATACTCTTACAATCAAACTCCATGATCTTCATCCAGTTCTCAAAATCTCCAATTTCCTGCCGCACAAAGAAGAAAAACCCCATCTTTAAAAACCATCATTAATTAAATTTACAAAAGAAAAACTGAAAATCACCGAAAATGCAGAATTGAAATTCTATCAACCTTAATGGCGGAGTTCATCGAATGAGTGACAGAGAGCCATTGATCGGTCTGTTTGGTGAAGCGAGTGATGGTGGCGGTCAAAGCCCTAATTTCATACTCGATTCGCTTCTCGTTCACAAACGACTCTTGAACGCCGCCGTTCACTGCGTCCACCATCAGCTCCGCCGCGCGCGCCGCCTTCTTAATCGCGTCCTTCTTCGCCTTCTCTGATACAACCAATCGCCTCTCATTACTCTTAATCACTCAATTAATTTCTCACTAATCCAATTTCAACAATCGAGCTTCATTTTTTCAAACCCTAGGTCGAATTCAAAATTCGATTTGGGGGGAACTGAGTCAACTCACCGGTGACTTCGCGGAGTCTGAGGGAGGTTTGGTGGTGGTCCTGGACCAGTTGGAGCAGAGCTTCTTCTACACCGCCTGGCTCTGGCTCCAACGAGAAGGAGAAGGAGGACGACGAGGCCACGCCGCCATGGGCCAGTGGAAGGGAGGATTGCGAGTACATGCTTCAGTCGTTTAAGGTGTTCGAAACCAAACGGTAAGTCGTATTGAATAGACTTTAGCCCCCAGTTTGTTTGTTAAGGGCTAGTTGTATGAAGTACTTTTGCTAAAAAATGATTTTGTTAGAAGCGCTTTTGTAAAAAGAACCTTGAAATTTTTGGTAGGGTGGCGCCCAACATTATTTTTTTTTTAAGGTTTACTGTAATGAAACGACGTCGTTTCGATTGCATTTTCTTGCCTTTATTGTAACTATCCCCTTGGCACATGCGTGGTTTTCTTTTTTCTTTTTTATTTTATTTTTAGAATTAAGAAAAGATAATATGGGTAGTTATGTTCCATAAAAGTAGAATTTATTATCTGAGTTTTTTTTTTTTTTTTTTTTAGAATTAAGAAAAGATAATATGGGTAGTTATATTCCATAAAAGTATGGCCTATTATCTGATTTTGTTTTTATTTTTATTTTTTTAATATGAAAAAAATTGTGAATTTACCATATTATTCTCATTTAATTAATAATTTCAATTCTTAATATTTGAATTAATCAATTGCGTTTTATGGTATTTTGAATGTTTCATCATCCTCTGTCTTTTGCTTTATATATATAGATGATAAATTAGATTAGGAAGAAATTGAAAGGGCTTTGTCTGCTATGATTAGGAAAGGTGGCTGCAGATAAAAGTCAAGCTCACTATTTTATGCTTTTTTAGTAGGTCGATCAGTTAGGGTTTAGCCCCACCCACCAATCTAATATTTCAAACATGTTGAATTAACTGAACAAATTATGTGTTCAAATTCTTATTCTATCATATATCTTGTTCATTTTCTCTAACTCAAAAATTAAACTTGAAAGAGTAAGAGTTGAATTTTGATACAACAATTATAGTGGATGATAATCGTCCATTCATTATTAATCTTTTCAACTTCATGAGTTGATGATGAGGTTAATTCAATTTATAGTAAATCACGGCGGAATGTAATTAAAATTTTAAGTATATATATTTGCTTTACTTTTATTTATTTATTTATCAAGATAGTGCTTGGCAGCTAATTCATTGGGTAGCTACAACATCAAAACATCGACTGTCTTCCGTCTGCTCCCATGCTTACTTGTAAAATCTCAATAGATACACACAAACAATAATTAATTACTTTACTTAAACTCTAAAATCTCCTTTTGATAAAATTAAAAAACAGAACAAAACAAAAAACTCTAAAATCTGAATAGACATGGTACTTTTTTTTTAATATCGTTCAATGATGCCAACTCACGGAAAGGAGTCATATCGATCTAGTCATTGATTCTCATGGCGGAAGTGACAAACAGTCAATCATAGCCACTAATCAACAATAACCATCTCTGAAAAACTTTCAACGTACTGCATGTTTTGCATCACACGTTTCAAGTGAGATAGCCTATCACTATTTAACCTTCCCGACAAATCTTTTGGTGAGATTACAACCAATGTGATTTTGACGTGTACATTTTTTTTAGATTTCTTTTTTCTATTTTGATGAAACTTTGTCAATCTTACTAGAATACAACAAGTGATTTTAAGAAGAAGCTCCTCCTTAATTTTAAGAAGCCAAGCCTTGCTCTTTCGCAAAATTTGAATCACTAAACTTGAATTCTGCTTTAATAAATAATTGAAAAGGACAGAGAGTAGAAAGTCGAACTTTCAACAAGTAGAGAGAGATTACGATAGTTTAACTTATTAAAATTTTAAGGTTTAAGATTTGATTAATTACTAGATAAGAATGCATTATTGGACATATATATCATTGTATTAAAATAGATGTGTAGAAACAAGATATTATAAAATATTTACTATTTTTAAAAAAAAAGTTAAAGGAATAATTCTCGAATAATATTCCAAATGTTTGCAAATCAATTTACACCCTAATTAAATTTTATATTTATTTCCATTCACTAACAATTGGCATCCACAAAAGTTGAATTCAGACTTTCTTGTCAGAAAATAAAGTGCTACGGAATATAGATATATTAAAATATGCATGCAAGCTATGTATTATACACTTACAAATAATTGATATACTTGTTTTCTGCCGACACGTGGAAAATTGTTGTTGCATGAAACGTGATCCAAAGCAGCCCCTAGATAATTAATCTCTTTAATTTGAGAAAGCTACACTTGTAATGGGTGGTGGTGGCCATTGCCATCACCGAAGAGACGGGCATGAGAAAAATCACATTACTTCAAGTGGTATTATATACTGTTAGTATGGATATAAACACATTTCTGTATGTATCCGTATAGAGCCACGACCTCTTCAGGCCGAAATGTGACACCGATGGTGTATTTATCGGCAGAGTCACATCCCGAAATATGACACCGCTCGTGTACCTATTGATGGAGTCGCATACAATCCTGAAACGGGCATGTACCCCTCCAAACTTCCAATTGATAAATTCTAAAAATAAATATACAAATAATGATGTTGTACTCGAGGAATTCCGTCACTATCTGTCTATATTCGTATACACAAAAAGTGATCCAACAAACCCTACATTACATTTATGGCAACGAAAAAAATCCCAATAATCAAACACTATTTATAGGGTTTTCATAATTTGCTTTTGTGCCTAACTTTGAATTAAGTCCCCTAATTATGCTTTCGAACAGAAATTGGAAGTCAATAGAATTAACTGCGAGTCACATCATGAATTAAATGCATGGGTCCACTATGTATAAAATTCACATCTAATTCTTAACGGTTTTACAAATCACTACGTACTATATAGGAGAAAAAAAAAGGTTGAGATATGATGTTCCATCCTTAACTAATTCAATAGTCAAATCAACTTCATTACTAAATTTGATTCTATCTCTGCTTGACTACAAACCTCATCACCTCACACTCAAAACTTAAAAATTTATTGTCTAAAATCCCTTGTCGATCTGTGTAAGATAGCTATAGACGACCTGCAAAAATAGTCACAGTCATGCATCATTTGTAACCTAATATACAGAAATGTTGATTTTGTTTAATACCATTTAGAAATATTTAGTCATATATCCATTCTTAGCACTAATAATATAGATAAACCCTACATCATTGAATTAATTTTATAAACAAACAAAAAAAAAACCAAAAAAATGACAACTGACCCTATTGAATTTAAGTTTGATTATTGAATTACTTTGATACCGTATTGAGTACTTTGGATTTTTTTTTATGAGGTTTTGGGATTGAGTTTGATTTAAGAAATTGATAGCAGTTTTGTAATTTATAAGAAGTTAAAAGCCTATTTGTTATGTTGTAAATGGACTTTGGGTGTGTTTCTAAAGTCCATTTCATATAGGGTATTTTTATAATTTGGGCCTCTATATTGGGTATAATAGTGAATCTCCCAAATATTTAAGTCCTTTTTTTTTTTTAGAAGAGCACTGTTTTTCTTTATTTATTTTGGTTTAAGTTTCTCTGAGGAAGAAAGGATGGAAATTACATGGAGTTGGACAAGTCTTTGCAATTACTTTAATCTTATCAAAGTAGATACGCTTTGCCTTTGGATTGAAGTTTGATTATTCAAGATTCTTTTTTTTAGTCAGAGATGATACAAATTTAGTTGGTACTTCTCTTTTGATATCTTACTCTTTTTTGGCCGTTTCTAGTCTCTAGTGTTTGTATCTCGTTCAAAAGAGAACCACAGGGAATCTTGAAAATATGGAGAGTGAGATAAAAAGTGTTTTTATTTTATTTTTAAAGTTTCAGTATATAGAGAGATAAGGTTGAAAAATGATCTTGATTTTGCAGACCAGAAGTCTCAGGTTTAAAATCTCATTGACATCTCTTTGTATTATAATTGATGGCCTAAGATGAATATGAGGAATCCTAGTTACTTTCTCACTCTACTAGCTCTTCGTTCAACCCTTCTCTCTATTTATCTTTTAAACATGAAAATCACCCTCACTTAGAACTAATCAAGATTTTATAAGGATTTAAAAAGAAAAATTAGGGTCTTCCCACACTCTTACGCTCGATAAATTTAACATAATTAACCTTCGATCTAAGCTTACGAACAGCAAGCCCTCCAATTATTTTCTGTGTGGTCGGAATTGTCCAATTCTTTGCATGATATCTTCACGAAATCCCAAAAAAGTTTAAAAGACAGAGTTAGTGGAGCCCCCAAAAGTATGATTTTGATCCATTCCCGATTGATTGTCTGCCTTTGGTTCATTTCACGTTAACGTGTTTTGGTGTTTACTTGGTCAGTTCTGCTAATTAAAAATTATTAATAATGGATTTAATTAAATTCTAGAAGTAGAAATCCCATGCCATGCACTGCTTATACTTGGTCTTAGTCTTTCAGATTAGGTAACCTGCCAGCGCCAAACTCTCCCTCCCCTCATTTCTTCCCCTATAAATATAAACCCTTTTAATCTCCATGCATACACCACAGGCTCTCTTAAGCTGCCAAAGCAAAACCACACTCCTAAACCCTTGTTAAACCCTTTGTTAATTTAATCAGCTTTTGAAATTACCAATGGCTTCTCGTAGGAGTTCTTCTCTGTGTTCCATATGGGTGATTGTCCTTCTTCTGGGTTTCACAGGGAGCTCTTCTGCTCATCTCTCTAAGCATTTCTATTCGAAGAGTTGCCCTAAGGTTTTTGATGCAGTCAAATCTGTTGTGCAGTCTGCTGTGAACAACGAAAAGCGCATGGGAGCTTCCCTCCTTCGCCTTCACTTTCATGACTGCTTTGTTAATGTAATTCTTTCTTATTTATTTATTTTTTCTTCATATAAGCGATAGTTTAAACTATTTTACATTAATTCAGTCTATAGGAAGGGGGGACTCGAATCTAGATGCAAGAGGGCGGGCTCATTGTCTTGATCAACTGACTTAACCCACGTTTAATTTGTCTCTGTTACATATTAATTAAGTACGGGCTTAATTTGTGATTGCATGTTAATCATGTATTTATTATTTATTGAAAACAAAATAACATGTTATATTAATAGTTGTCGTACGGTTTGTTAAAATCAGTTTTCAAGTTTGCAAAACTGGGTAGGACTTGTCGGCAAAAATAATCTCTACTTTAAACATGAA